GCCCGAATCTCTGGGACAAACAGCGTTTACGCATGTCAAGGAGGGAGCTGTGTAACTAGAAGATGTAGAATTGATTCTACTACGAAATTGTATGAAAAAGGCTGTCAGTTCTTCCCCGATAAAGTTCAAACAGAAAAGGCTTCCATAATGTTTATGCAAAGTATTGATTCTGTAAGTATGCTAATCCTTGTTCCCAGAATTTATAATCAAAGGGCATATCAGATTTCATTTAATTATTTATCTTCTGGTGCTGGTGGTCAAACCCAAGGCCTTGCACTTGCTGGGCATGTACTGAACTCACAGCGCTCTATCCCACACCCCCAACATGTTTTATTTGATAATGTATATCTGGATCAGAGGAAGATTAAATCTATCACATAAAATTCTTTAGTCACTGTGTGAGACACTGTAAACGCTCAGTTAATGTTATATACTGTTACCAATTTGCTAAGTTTCCTCTCGAATATACTATTTCTCATTAATTATATTTCATTTATTCAGCAAAGTATATTTGTAGGACACATGTTACTCTTTTCAGGTTTATAATGAAGCATTTTAAAGAATGGTACAGTAAAACTTTCCATTTTATCAACTTTCTAGGTTGTTGAATTCTGCAATGAGAAAAACCATAACCAAGAAGCTCCAAGTCTGCAAAATAAAATGTGCAATTTCAGAAGCACATGGGAGGTAATCAGAGAGTCGGAGGACTATAAAAACACCACGGTGATGGAGGAAACACCTCCTGCACCTACCTTCTCCTTGCTGAGGATCCATGAAAGAATTGTGTGCCTCGTTCTTGATAAGTCTGGAAGCATGAGTGTAAGTTCATTGGGTCCATTTTTCTGGGTGTAGTCAGTTATCCCCATGACTACACACGTTACAACAGTGTGTCGCGGAACACGCCATGCTCTACCTGTCTCTAGACTATTACAAATTGTATGATGGTGTAAAATACCATTTCTTGTGATTATGATCTCAAGATGTTGCAAAGAAAACTATTGTAGTTTAAAAAAAAAAGCTGTCCAAAAATTAATTCTAATTTTTTAGAATTAAATAGTGTCTCCATTTTTTTCTCGAGAAGGTAGATGGTTTACTGTAGAGAGCTCTTAGTCAAGCTTTAATTTCAAAGGTCAAGCTAGAGACTAAAGAATGAAATTTCATTAAACTAAGGCCCTTGTATGGAAAATGCTTGAAAAGCCTGAGGAGTAATGGCTGCTAAACTCTATTGCTGGTTTTAAAAATATCAGTCAGCAGTATTCCTCACATAGCATTATCTTCTTTGTACCATCTGTATGAGTGACCTCTTCATGCTCAAAGTAACTGATCAAAAATCACTATAAAGAATAGGATTAAAGTGCCTGCAAGCAGGCGTGGGGCCCAGGGGTTCGATCCCCGGGCCTGCTGTGCTGGCCCCACCCCTGAGGTGCACTGAGATAGCAAATGAGACTGGGCATGGTTGGGCGCTCCTGTAATCCCATTTTTTGGGAGGCTGTAAACAGGCGGATCACTATGAGTCTGATCTAATAGTGAGACCCTGAACACCCTGTAGACCCTTCCCTAAAATACAAAAAAAAAAAAAAAAAAAAGAATATATGGATATTTAAAAGTATGATGTTAAGGTCCATCCATTTAGCTATAAATGTCTCAAGTTTGTACCTTGTAGGGCTGAGAGTACTCCATTATATAAAGAAATCATGTTTTTTAATTTTTTTATCCATTAATTGGTCGATGGGTGTTTGGGTCTTTTCCAAGATTTAGTTACTGTAAACTGTGACACAGTAAACATGAGTATATGTATTTCACTGTGGTATGCTGCTTTTAATTCTTTGGGGGAGATACTTAGAAGAGGATTGGTTGAGTCCAGTGGAATCTCTAGTCTTAGTTTGTTGAAGAATCTCCATAGCAACTTCTACAGTGGTTGCACCAGTCTACACTCCCATCAACAGTGGAGAAGGATTTCCCCCGACCCCACAGCTCTGCCAACACTTGTAATTGGTTGATATCCTGATAATATCCTTGCTTTCTGGAATGAGTTGGAAAATGTGTTGTTTTAATTTGCATCTCTTGAATGATCAGCGACACAGAAATTTTTTTCCTGTATTTATTTTCTGTTTCTATTTCCTAACCTAGCATCTAACAAGGAGTGTGTCTCAGTTACTCTTCTCTCATTGCTGGGACAAATCCCTGACACTTAGATGAAGGAGGGAAAGATTTATTTAGCTCACAGTTACTGGAAGTTTCAGTCTATGCTTAGCTGACTCCAAAGCAGATACAAGGCAGGGAGCAACCTTTCATGGCAGTAGCAAGGAGCAGAGAGCAAAGGGAGTGGCAGCAGCTCAGACAGCTAGCTGGAAACTCTTCCCTCCTCACGCTGTAATGCAAATTACCTGCCTCAGGGCAAGTGCAACATCCACACCCACAATAATCAATCACAGACTCCAGAAGCTGCCCCATGGCTGCACAAGACTTTCGGGGGACACCTAGACACAAGTCATAACAGAGTGGTATGGTTGTGTGAAATAGTACTTCTACTTTTAAAGAACCTCCATACTCATTTCCATAGTGAAGGCACTAAATCACATTCCTAATGAGAGTGTAAAACGGTCCTTTTCTATACCAAATCCTTACATGCACTGGTTTGGTTTTTTATTCTTGATTATAGTCACTGAACTGAGATAAAATTCCAATGCAGATTGATTTGCCTTACCTAAAGATTTGAACATTTCTTCGTGTGTGTATTATCCAGTTACATTTCTTTTGAGAAGTAAATGTCACTTCAATTCCCTTGCTCATTTATTGATTGGGCTATTTTAGATTTTTCATTCTATTAATTGTTTCACTCGCTGTACAGAAACTTTTTAAATTGACATAGTCAATTTGTTCATTCTTGCTTTCATTTCTTGTGCTTTTAAAGGCCTATTCAGAAAGTTCTTTCTTGTATTTATGGCTTCAAGTGTTTCCCCTAATTTTCTTCTACGAGTTTCAAAGATTCAAGGCTTCTACTCAGGTCCTTGATCCATTATAAACTGATTTTTAAACCAGATGAAAGATGAGATAAAGGTTCAATCTTATACATACAGATATGCAATTTTATGGGGACAATTTATTAAAGAAACTGTCTTTATCCCATGTATTTTTTGGCCCCTTTGTCAAACCCAGGTGGCAGTTGTGTGGTATGTTTCTGAGTACTCTTTTCTGTGCCATTGGTCTCCGTGTCTATCTTTGTGCCAGTACCACGCTGTTTTAATATGACTTTGTAATATAATGTGCAATCAGGATTGTAATGACTCCAGCCTTACTCTTTTCCTTAAGGATTGCATTGGCTATTCTTTCTCTTTCATGTTCTGATATGAATTTGTGAGTGTTTCTTCTAGTTCTGTGAAGAATGCAGTTGGTATTTGGATGGAGACTGCACTGTATCTGTCGCTCACTTTTGGCAGTATTAGTTCGGTCAATCCACAAACATGGAAGGTCTTTCTATCTCTTAATGCCTTTTTTCTCACTTCTTGTCTTCTTTTGATTTTCATGGTAGAAGGAGATTTTCATCTCCTTGGTCAGGTTAATTCTTAGGTAAATACTTTGGAAGTTACTGAATGGAATTGTGTCACTGAGTTCTGTCTCAGCTATTTCATTATTGGTATAGAGAAAGGTTATTAATTTTTAGTGTAGGTTTTGAATCCCATTTCATGGATGAACTTATTTACTAGATCAAAAATCTTTTAGTGGAGTCTTAGGATCTTCTGAATATAGGATCATGTCAACTGCAAATAAAGATCACTTAATTTTTTCCTAACCCACTTGCATCCCTTTCATTTATTTTCTTTCTTAATTTTTATGGCTTCAATTTCATGTACCATATTGGATAAGAAGATGAAAATGAATATTCTTATCTCATATCTGATTTTTAAAAGAAATGCCTTTAGTTTTTCCACCATTCAATATGAGGCCGGTGATGTGAATTCTGGCAGGTTACCAAAGAGCCCATTTCAATCAAATCACCAGTGAATAAATGTTGGGAAAAAGTTAGAAGTAGAACATCAAGGGCATTGGTAGAGGATGAGGTTCTCAGAATATAGCCTCAGCTCAGGTAAGTTTCACACTTGGGCAGACTTAGTCCTCATTCACTGAAGACTATATTTCAACTCTGACTGAAGTTTAAACTATTCTGGTTTCATTAGTGACTTAATCTAAGAGAGCTGGCCCACAGTACAATGTAATCAGAGGATCACTAACATGCGCATCATCATCCCCATTTTTAACTCAGTCTCCATCATAGCTTTTGTCTCTAAACTGAAATGTTTAGCAGCCAGAAATCATCTCTAGCTAAAAAATATGAGCTTACTGCTAAAACATTTATATTTCATAAAACACATAATCCTATTTTAATTGAAAAGACAACAATCTTTCAAATTTATTTTTCAGTTTTATCAACTGAAAAAGAGAATGATTCTTATCAACAATAATAGTTATGATTGAAAAATTCTTATCAATAAATGCATGTACCCATTATGTGTGATGCTATGATTTTGTAGTTGAAAACTACTTGGATATTTTCTTTTACTTTTTTATTCAGGGTAGTGATCGCCTCAACCGAATGAATCAAGCAGCAAAACATTTCCTGCTGGAGACTGTGGAGAATGGCTCCTGGGTAGGAATGGTTCAATTTGATAGTGTTGCAAGCATTAGAAGTGAGTTAATACAAATAAAAAGCAACAGCGAAAGAGACACGCTTGTGACAAGCTTGCCTACACAAGCTCTTGGAGGAACTTCCATCTGCTCTGGGATTAAAAAGGCATTTGAGGTAAAAATAAAAAAAACTAACTATAATTCTTTGAATTTATCTTGAATTACACACTTCTTTGCTCTACATGTTAGCTGTGTCTTTGTTGCTCATCTGTCGTTCAGCATTTGATACAAACCTTGGTAATTGTTAAATTGAATTGATGTTTTTCCATGAATGGGAACCACGCAGTTCCCAGCATGGTGACTGATACTGCAAGAGCTCAGTGAAGAAACTCACACAGGAAGTGAGAGGTAAAGAGAGAGAGCTTGACTTCATCCCTGATTTTTATTTTGCACTCAGACTGTAGGAGAAATGTGATGTACATACTCTGTTAATTCCACACATATTTAGATGCACATTTCAGTTTGATTCAATGAGCATTAGAGTGTATTTTTCACATATATGTCACATTGTCTCACAGCGTGCAGACTTTCTAATGAAAATGGTCAATTATTTCTCTGCTTCCTGCTTCATTAGGGATTATGACATGTTAAACCCTCTTTCCCACATCAGCAAGTACCTCTACTCCAATTCCAATAGAAGTCACTGGGAATCTGGAATTTTTTCTTTTGTCTTGGAATCCCTTTCTCAAAATGGTACTCAAGGCAGCCATTATGAAAAGAGCAATTAGATAAAATAAAATATAATTTCTGTTTGAAGCTGTTCTTATTATTTTCTCTATGAGTACCTAGATGCAAAATTCTGACTTTTAAACTCTTGTGCTTTTATAAAAAGAGGATTCAGCTAAAAATATAACTCATTAAACATTGTTCATTTGGTTTTCATCAACACTAATATGCTTATTTTGATGCTATAAGTAAACTAATAGTTATGTAATTAGTCTCTAGCCTTACCATGTTTAGAAGTAAACTCATCTTTCCCTCAAAAGTATGCTGGACAATTTCTAATTTGGAATCAATGATGTTTTTATGTTAAGGTGGTTTATTAATGTAGCAAGCTATATGGACTACAAGCTTCACAGATGGGTGCTTCCTCAGAGGATAGTCAAGTCAAAGAAAGCAAAACAAATATTTATAACCACTTCTCACAAATATTTTGGATGTCTTAACCACCTGCATTTCCTAGGCTGAGATAGTACCTTTGTCTAATGGGGGCAAGATTTTCCAAAACTCTGCTCCTACCAGTGTTCATTTGAATAAATGTTCCCTTCATTGGAAGAGATAGGAAAAAAATCATGTTTCAGATACCCTAAGATAACTAGATATGTCGTACATAGCTAATCCCAGAACTCTGGGAGGATGAGTCAGAGAGGACTCAAGTTGGAGCTGAAACCAAGCGACTTAGAGAGCCCTTGTCCCAAAGTAAATAGTAAATAGTAAATGGGCAAGGGATATAGTTGAGTACGAAGACCCTGGTTAAATCTTTAGTACAAAATAAGAAAAAAGAGATACTCTAGATATTATTTGAAGATTCTGTGATCTTTAAAGCAAAGACTCTGTCTTCTACTCCTCCTATCTTTCTTCATTTTCTCTGCATTTGTCTACTTTCCCATTCATCAGTTTGACCGACAGTGCTAACCATGTCTGCAATGCCTCTGCAGGTGATTGAAAAGGCAGGCTTCCAACTGAATGGGTCTGAGATAGTGCTGCTGACTGATGGGGAGGACAGCACTGCCAAAGCCTGTATTGGGGAAGTGACAGAAAGCGGGGTCATCATTCATCTTATCGCCCTGGGACCATCTGCTGATCAAGCAGTTAT